AAAATCGGGTGATGTATTTCAAGTTGTCACAAATCCTCCCTTCAGTATGATCATTATATTTTCTACATTTCTATCTGCCGCGAAGTTCGATATTTTTGAAAATCGCCGATATTTTTTAAAATCTTTTTAACAATTGCATCCAGTAACCCACCTACTCTATGGTCTTCTCCAGGCTTCGCTGCCAAATAGCTTTCTTGTCTGCTCTTCCGTCCCCCTCGAAGGAGGCGACTGTACAACCTTGAGGAGAGTTATCAAAACTATATTGACAATGAGAAAGCACTCTTGATGAGCAAAAAATCCTCAAAAGCAGAAAATTGAGTGCGTGTCCCACCAGATGCTAAAACTCTCTGTCGATATGTCTGAGTATAATGTTGTTACAAACTAACGAACATCAGTAGAGGGTGAGTTGGTTCGGCTCGAAAGATATGAGTGTCATTGTGATGGAGAATGTGTTCCCCAGCAAGTCTTTTGAATTTCTGACAGAGAATTACAGCCACTTAAAAACAGCATGTCCTCTACTGGATATTATACTAATTTTTGTGCAATTACAGTGAAAAGCAACACTCTCGAAGATTTTTCGGAGTTGAAGGGCACAGTCAAAATCTTTAGATCGGAACAATGATTAAATGGACAGAAATGGCATAGGATGTGGCTAAACTGGAAATCAACCATAACATCAGGTGGATTGACAAGAAAAAGCTGAATTTAAATTCGTTAAATCTTGCTTCCCAGAACGAATGGCAACGACATCAAGATAACCGACTATCAAGTCATCAAGTCAAGAAGCCTCAATCCACATTGCTGTGAGCTGAAGAGTAGAGGCAAACAGACATTTGAAAAGAAACAAAAGTGGATTTTATAAGATGTCCCCCCCCCCTCCATTTATGTCAAGCCATAACACTGAGTAAAACTTTTACACTTCGTGCAATCATCTAATAACACTCTAGACAACGCTTAGCACTGCTATTAACTTGGTGCAAAATAAACGAGAGCTTTACACGTTTCCTTCAAAAGTCAAGGTTTTGCAAAGTAAACTACCTCACTAAAAGACTTAGATTGCATGAAACTTCGTCTGTGAAATATACATTCCAGGATTTGTTGCATATTTGCGTCACGATTTTTGCTGTAGTTTATATTGAGATGGAAACACCCAGTTTATTTTCTGGTAAGTTTTTACTTCTGAAATTTCAAAAGTCTATGAAGTCTATGCTAGGCACTGTAATAAGGTAATTGAGACGAAAGTTTAGCGCTGAACATAGAAGATCAAGAATCTTGAAGAAATCAACAGGAAGTCCACAAGAAAAAGGAGCAAATTAGAACTGCTCTTATTCATTGTAAAAAGCTAAAATTGAACACTGGACGCTTCGGCTCGGCTACTCAAACAATCAATTTCCCTGCGACTTTTTGTAGATTCAGGTAAGAGGGTATCAAAGTTTTCTTCTTTGCATCTCTTGATGACAGATGCAAAAAATGCGTCAACCCGCCGTGTCCCACGCGTTTGGAAATGTAAATGAATAGAAAAAATCAACGTTTTCGAGTATATTTGTCAATATTGCAGCTATTATCAGAGTTTTTGCAAAAAAAAACATTTTGAAAGGGAAATATTCTACTCGTTCAAGTATACATTAGCTGCCCTTGCAGATGAGCTGAACTAGTTTAACTTTTGCATCTAAATAGTTCGAGCCTGAGTGTTCCTGCTGCTTGTCTGTTATTGTAAAAAATAGAGGCGAAAACAAACTCCTTGAATTTACCAATTTATCACCCATATTGATCTGTGGTATTGTAGTAGATACAAGTGCTAGCATTACTGATTCTAGACTGGAATAGAATAAATTCTGATAACTAGTGGTATGCAGTTGAGTGATTTTCTGGAGCTTTCATGAGAAGGTCTTACATTAGATGGATCTTCCTTGAATGGAACCAATTTTCAACCATCTTTCAACCTAACCATGTTTTTGATAAGAATACAGAACAACGTGAACAACATTTTGGAAATCGAGTAATCTGGGGAATCTTAACAGTCTTTCCATCAAATTTACAGGTTGCTTTGGCATAGGGTGATAAATGCCTGCAATTTTTCTGCTATTTGCTTTCCTACATTCTTCGGCGGTTGAAAGACGCAACTTTTACGCCTGTCATCAAGAGATACAGCAGAACACTTCATCACTACGTTAGGAGAGCCCAAAGGAATCTAAAAAATCGACTGCTTCTATAGTTGGATGGTTTTCTCACTATTCAAGTTAGCTTTGCTGACATTGAAGACATTCTTCAAATCTTGCTCTACTTTGTCTCACATTTTCCTGACTTTTTCTGGCCTTCATATCAATGTACATCGTTTATTAGCATAAAGTAATATTGACCCGAATCAGGTCGACTCTCGGGAATAGGATTTTAAGCTTGCAGAATGCATTTATTCTGACCGCTCTAGAATTGACAACTTGATATTTCGACTGATCCTTGAGAAGTTTTTATAAGCTAAGGGAAAAAGCTGACAGCTTTACCAAAAGATTTGCTCTCTTTCCTTTTCTTCCTAACAAGTTATTGATTTATTGATTATGTACCATAGATCTTAAAGTAGGTAGAGCCTTCTCTGCATGCTGTCTAACAAGTTCGGAGATTGAAGCTGTCGGGAAATCAAAAATACTTTGTACAAATGATAACAATGAGTACCTCAATTTTGCTGTTTTGACAGGGAAATTTTTATTTTGTTAGATCAGATTGGGTGCCAGTAACAGAAACTACCTTCGGTGGTGGTACCGCTGTTTTCCTCTCTCCATTCACTTTTTTGTTCTAAATGTGCTGAAAATCATCGACGACATCTTGATCACGATCAAAGGCCGTTTGATCAGCACAGAGGGTTAAGCTGCCTTATATAACAATATTGAGTGATTTTTTAACTACTTGCTGTTTAATAGTAGGTAAGGACAGGGTTAATCCGTAGGGGTACGGAATTACCATGTGGACTGAACGAACTGTCAGTACTCGTTATCTCAGCTGTATTTACGCCCACATGTATACATTGTCCATGTCCACCTATGTCCATAATACGGAACGCTTATCAGCTCAAATATTTAAGAAAATTTTTCCGCGTAGGTGTTGAATAAATAATGGTTTTATGCAGAGTCGCTAAGTGATAAGCTTTTTGCTTGACGCGGAATGGTTACGAGTTAATGCCCTCATGGTCAAGAAAGAGATTATGCGTTCACTACGTCTGAATCTATTTTTAAATAAAATGTGTATTCCTTTCTTATCATTAGTATGCTCTCAGAGTGAGGTAAACACCCATGCTTACCTGAAAAATTGGCACACAGACAAAATTTGGTATGACGATTACTGAATGCCGTTTACTTGGTAAATGAGTAACTCAGTTACTCACTCGTACTTGAGAGGAAAAATGTAGACTGACAACTTTTTACCCGGAAGTTTGGCCTAGACCACTTGTGGTCAATCATTACTTGAAAGGATAAGAACGTTCGTCAAATTTGAGTTAGTCTAATTTTTCTTGAAAAAAAAAGATGAGACAGATTTTTTTGCATAGAAGGGAGAAAAAGACTTGTAACACATCGCTCATCCGGAGAAAACTGCCTCACCTCAGTACATAAAACTGATAACCGAATACTAAACCCAAAATAAAATAAATTGTAGAGCCAGAAAAAATGATTCCATAAGTCCTGCGCATTCATGCGGCAATCTCAGCTTGTTCCTAATTGAAAACTTGATAGCAGATTTTGTGGGCCGAGAAATCATACACGTCCTGGGCACACCTCACGCAATTTGGTAACACTCCAGTTGTTCATAACTCACCGTAAGGAGTTTTTGAATCCCGGAAGATAGTGCAGTTTATCAACCAACGAAAATTATACATGCTGCGAAATTTTCTTCGGGTCTGTCAGTATTGAATTTGAAGATATCTGGCAAATTGCCAGATCGCGTGGCGACTGAAATCGCGTGAGGTATTGCCCCTGGCCATAAGACAAAAAGTGGTCCCAGGATTTTGGTACAAAGGGAGGGGGGGGACAAAAATTTTTCGAATAAAAAGAGGTATGTGGTATTAGACAAGCCCTCCCAAGAATTTTTAACGCTGCTTTCCAACATTTTTGCGGACCCCGACGAAAATTTTCATACAAGGATAATATCAATTATTAAAAAAAATTGTAAAATTTATGTTATTCAAAAGAGTACAAACGAGTTACACCCCCGCTCCCCCCTTCCGTCTGCCATTGAAAGGAACCTAATAAAAGAGCGCAACACACCGAAAACCACCGCAACTCTGATCAAAAAATTTTTTTAAATTTTGATTTCCTGTAAAGGTGTAAGTTTGCTTGCACTTAAATGTCAAATCTGACTTTTTTGAATCTTAATGCTCCTTGTGATCCTGATCCACTGTTTCAATTGGCATAGCGTCAAAAAGGGAAAGTTAGGCAATTATCAAACCAGTCTGTTACTGCATTCGGAAAGTTCTTCTCGGTCTAGAAACATTTCAAAAGTGTCTGTTGTTATATTAGTCAAATGGTGGCAATTACTATAAATTAAATAATTCTTTCAAGTGCTACTGTAAGCTTGCACAATTACTATTTTTCAAATGATTCATAATGACGCATACAAGTAGTGATGACGTCGATACTATGGAATTTTCTGCACTTCAGTTAGAAAAACAATTGAGTCATGCGTAGAAAAAAAAACTCCTTATCTCGTTTCCGTCTAGACTTTCACACCTTCTTCCATGCTTATGCTTTAATCATCTTTTGTCAATACCTTTTGAGGATGAAGATTAATAAGGATTATGCACTAATGCCGTACAGAACTCTCCCTGAAAGGCAAGGGTCATCTAAACTTTTTTTTTAAAAATGCGTCATCTATCGCCGAACTGAATAGAGTAATGTCAACTGTGTAGAGGATGTGGATGACTAAGCCCTTGTGTGTTTTTTCTTATCTCCTTGAACATTGCGAAAGATTGAATGAATGATGCGTATATAAGCTCAAAGCTCTCGGGTTACGGTGTAGTCCAGCCTCTGTAACACTAACGGAACGCCTTATTCTTTGATTCTATCTGCTACTTGTAAATCTAAGCTCATAATGCTTAGATCTGGAAAATGACTAATTTTTGTAATGTGCTTCTACTTTCTAATCAAGATTAATTGGATTAATTCCACATCGCATTCGATCATTATCCATTTCCAAATTTGAACAGCAGTCAAGTCTTTCTGGATATTTTGAACCGCTTGTCTTTTACGAAAGGTACATATAGATTCAAGAAGATTTTCACAACTTTTCGGCTCGAAGATCTCGTGGTGTAGTGGTTATCACATCTGTCTAACACACAGAAGGCCGGCGGTTCGAGCCCGCCCGAGATCAAACGTTTTCTTTTTTCGTCTTTTCTTATGTTAATACTTTCTATAGGTGATTGGGACAAAGAAAAATCTTCTCCTTTGGTGGTATTCCTTTTCCTTTGCGATCTTGCTCGTTCCAAATCCTTCTTCATTGTCGTAAAAATCACCTTACTAGCGAAAATTCTCACTCTATTGCCAGACTCATGCGTGAATTTCTATTTATTTCACATCCGCCGATTTTCAGAAAAATGCAGAAGTCCATAATTATGGCTATTGCTGGTGCAGTAGCGATCACCGTCCTGATTGCCACCGGTATTACCCTAGCAGTGGTCCTCACAAGGAAAGGATCTGATCCAGGTAAGGTAGTTTTTCACTAGTATAAAGTAATTACAAATTCAAAAAAGAAGTGATTGGGAAGAGAAGTTGAAATTTTTTTGGATCTCAAAACAGTCAGTTCATGCTTTTCTCAAGGGAGAAAAATTATCTTCGGGAGAGATCAGTGTAGGATTCTTTCTAGACAAACTTCGATAGATTTTCCGGGAAATTTTCGCAAACAGCGCTGTGAGGTCTTCCTTTGATATAGAACTCAAGTACCTTTTGTGCTTCATATAGAAAGACTTCCTACTATTGATATCTTATTCTGAGCTTTTCTAGAGCATGTTTACATAAGTTAGAAGTTTGAAAAGTGAACAATACGATAGGTGAACTGTGACAATCTGGTTTTAAATTTCTGATTTCACAGTGCACGATTTTCTTTGAAACACTTAGAAAAGCTTTTTGATGGGATTAGTAATCTGTGAGTTTCTTGCAGACTTTACCGTATATTCGTAATCAGGAACATTATAACTCCTTTCATAGTCAAATCACCTGGTCAAAGAAAAATAGTGAAAAGGACGTTCCAGTAATGAGAGTTGATTTTTAGGACCAGAGGAGGAACAAAATTCCACAACAATCATGACAAACGAGACTGAGACTACCCCACTGTTCACCCTTGGCTCTACAGAAACTGAGAACACCAAGACTGAAACCGTAGAAATTGCCACCGTCACCAAATTGCCAACACCAGAACGACCGATTACACTTCCCACAGGTATTAGAAGATGTGAATTCGAATTAGAGAGCAGTATCTATTTTTTCTCTTTACAGATCAACCAAGGAACCTTTCACTGTCGGACATTCTGAGAACGTAAGCGTACTGAATCTCCCAACTATGGTCCGCTCAGGATTGCCGTAACGAATCAAAAGATAATCGCTCGGGTCCACTGTAAATGATCTAATTGCTATTCTTCACTTATTTGTATACATTTGCCATAACTTGCCATCCTCAGAAACAGCAAATTACTGGTGCTCAGTTGCAAACAGAACTTTATTTGCTTTTACCATTATTGATGCATACTTGATTAGAACTGTGCAACAAAGATTTGTGTAATTTTTGCTTGCGATATTCAAACACAATAATATTTGAAAACAACACTCCATCCAACATGGGCTGACACTTATACCATGTACGATCGAATGCGGTAGCGACGCGGCAGGCGTAGAAGGCGTAGACTACTTCAGGCAAGCGCGCTATCGCGAGATGTTTTCTTCTACAGCCCGATACACTACACATTCCTCTGAGAAAAGAAAACTCCGAAGACAGAAATAGTATAATCCAAATACAGATGCTGTCTGAGTTTTTCTTACCGAAAATTCCAGAAACTAACATTGTAGCTATCTGGATCTTCATTGCCTGAAGATGCTCTTCCAAACTGAGAACGGAAACTTTTTTGAACCATAGACTAAACTTTTGAACCATAAACAAGACGAAAAATTACTAGCAAGCGTGAGTATAACCGAATAAGCGTGCCATTTCAAATTTCCCGCTTTTCCTTGCAGTTCTTCGTGGCTGCCCGTATCGATTTATTGCGATCAACGACGCCCACGCCGTCCCATTCATTCTCGGTGCGCCGAGCGGTCTGCAGGTCTGGTCTCTACTTCCTCTGTAAGTTTTTAGCTTTTTCGTGGGGGAGGGGGGATGATGTTCAGTTAAAATAGAATTGAGTCATTGTCCTAGAATCTGGTGTGGTTTTGCCTCACCACTTAGTTTTAGAAGCTAGAGTTTAGGGTGAACTTAGAATCTCTGTAGATTAGTGGTACCTCAAAGCGGGCGAAAAGCGGATATGTCAGTTGTAAACTCGACGAATTCGCAACTATCTCGGTGTGATGGATATACTTGGCAGACTGTAGATAGGTGGAGCGTATGAAGACTGCATTCGGCTTTACAGTCGGTCACAGTCACTGATTCCAGACCGCAAAAGTAGATATCGCTGCTATGGTCGGACGCTTTATGGTCCTTGCGGCGCAGTGTGGGGCAAGCCTTTGTCGTCGCTCTGCGATTAGAGCATTGAAGAATAATTTGCTTAGAATCGAGGCACACGCGAGCTCATTGACTAAAATGAGCACCTTGAAGGCATCCCCATAATGAGGGCGGTGAGATTTTGATGCTGTATAGAGCGGAGCCCCTGAAAAGTAATCGCCTAAGTCACGATGCAAGAGGAAGAGATGATTGAGCGAGAAAACTGCTTCAGAGGGTACTTGCGACATGTTCGCTCCGTCCATCAACGTATGTGGTCCGAAAAATTATAGTGTTCACTTTGTTCAACTTTCCCACAGTGGACTACGGTAGTAGTATGGTAGAATTTTCATAAAAATCAAGAAACTCATATAGTAAGGCGGTATTGGAACTTGAAACTATCATTTTCGTAATCAGCATGCTACAATACCTATATATCAGTGGCGTACCGAGGGGGGGGGGGGCGGGGGGGGCTCGCGCCCCCCCCCCCCCCGAGAATGGGTCGCGAAATTTTAAAGCTACTTATATGGGTTATAAAAATGTGCAAGTGACTTGTTTATTTTTGTAAATAATTAAAATAATTTTTAAAAATTTTTAAAAATTCAATTTAGCCTTGTAAAAAAATTTTTTTCGGGGGCGTGGCGTCAGCCACGCCCCCTTTTTCAGGATTTTAGGGGTCAGGGACCCGCAAAAATTTTAATAAGCACCCCAAAAATTTTTACGGAGTGCGTGGCTAACGCCGCGCACCTTCATTAGAAAATTTTTTTTGTCGCACCCCCCCCCCCGAGCCGAAATCCTGGGTACGCCACTGCTATATATGTATGTAAGGTTTGAGCTTCCTGGGATGAGCATTGAAAAAATCAATAAGATCAATGAAATCGATAACTTTTGGTGGGTTAACATCAATCTCGTGCCCTCCCCGTATTTCTCGTGCATGTAAACTTGAACTTTCAAAAAACAGCGCCCCACTCGGCGCTATTCCACATTAGTTGACCCGAAAATGAAAATCGTGAATTTCGCTAAAACTTCGTCTAACGAGGTTATTTGGTACGCTGAACCCGAATATGATGTTTATTTCGTGCAACAGCGCCATCCGGTGGAGTTTACGGTAGGATTACGGTAGGGAGTCAAAATCACGGATTTGCCCGAAACTTGGCCAAGAGTGGTTATTCAGCCCGTTGATGCTGAATATCACATATATCACATTGGTTTTGTACCGTAGCGTCATTTTCTCGGGTTACGGTCGGTATACGGTAGGGGGTCAAAATCTCAAAATCTGCTGTAACTTCGCACAGAGGGGTTATTCGACATGCTGATTAGAAATGTCACACTTTCTCCGCACGAAAACGTCTCCCTGCATCGTTACGGTAGGTTTACGGCAGGGGTCATAATCACAAGTCGGCAAATTTATCTTTCCCTTGTGCTTTGCTTAGGCAAAAGCCGCAGCAGGTTGTGTAGCGCGCTGCGGTGGTCGTGTGTGCAAAGCTTTACGATCGTCCGAATCGCTGTGCACCCGTTTCAGGCAGAACTATATTTTACACTCGTTACCGTGCAGCTACCGTAACTCGAGAAAATGACAATACGGTTCAAAACCAATGTGATATTTTGCATCAGCGGGCTGAATAACTCCTCTGGGCCAAGTTTCGGGCAAATCTCCGTGATTTTGACCCCTTACCGTACTCCTACCGTAACTCCACCGGATGGCGCTGTCACACGAAATAAACATCACATTCGTGTTCAGCATGCCATGCCACCCCCCGGACGAAGTTTTAGCGAAATTCACGATTTTCATTTTTTTGGGTCAACTTAATGGAATAGTACCCGCCACTCTGCGAAAAATTTAAACTAAAGTCAGTGCCTTATCCTTATCTACGGTATACCTACCGTAACACTACGGTACCGTGTCCCACGCCCGGACCACCCTGGCTGGAGCCTAGCCAATGTGTCCTCATATGCCAGAACCCCGTAGACACCATAAAGTGGCAAAGCTAGAGCTTTAAGAATCTTACGGCCCACTAGTGGGTCGTATTGTCCGAATAGGCAGAACACGTACGAATCCATCAGTGGGTCGTATTGTCGCAAACGCGTTGAGCCCGCTTTCCTAGCTTGCTGACGCCCCATACAGAAAAAACGAAAAAGTATTAACGGCAGGGTAACACCACGTCTAATCTGGATCTTCATGTAAAGCGCAACTCCAAAAGATAAATAGTATTTATCTTATCAAAGACATGAGAAGTTCAAGGCGCTAGTCATCGCCCACTTGTCAACAGAACTTTCCTCATGATCCACCTTCAATGCGTACAAGCTCCAGGCCTCCTTGTTAGCTTGGTTTTCATCTGACAACAATACATTTACAGCACTAACATATAAGCTAAAACATCGAACTGCGCTTATGCTCATATTTTTTTACAGATCTGACAATGCCTCCATTTGCTGCCGGCGTAAAGAAAAATCCCTTCAGGAAAGAAGTGAACAAAACGGTGAGTGCGATACCGATATGTGACGGTACGAAATACGTATACGCAATCTTGAAGTGTAATTTTAGTGGTCGGGAACATTTCCGGAAAATGTGGATGGCCTAATCGAATCAACTACCTTCATAACAAGATGCATGTACATCACTTTTTGTCACATACTCGCTTGCAGGCGACTGATGCCAAGCAATGTGTTCAAGAAGAGGATTATAGATGGTAAGTTCATGGTAGTGAACGTATATTCGGCCACACTGCACGGCATACGCTGCGGCTGAGCATGCTGCCATCGTTTGCGCCGGCGAGATGATATACGCTTCTCTGTTGGGCTGGGTTCATAGGCTGCATTCATATTGATCGTATGTTCCGGAACAGTTCCAGCACAGCGCACAATTCAAGCGCTGTGCTGGAACTGTTTCGGAACTTGCGGATCAGTATGTACAGGGCTTTTCAACCTGAGAGTCGCAGGTTTCGCTTGCGCGGCTCCTCCAACGCGGCCGCCTCGCTCAGGCCGCGCGCGACATTTGCTGCGTATCGCCCGGATTTCGCCAAGCTTCAGTCGACGCGCAGCCAGCGCCACGAACGCTGCGCGGACCTAAGCGTGGCGGCCTAGCGGGGCGGGTGGGACACTCAGGTTGTAAAGCCCTGTACAGTCTGCTCCAATCGGGATCAGGCTGAACTGTTGGCTTAAAGGCAGCGTCCAGGCAGATTTGGGTCTATGGGGATTTTTCAAAAGTACTTTTGGGGCCCTAACTAAGGCACTGCTCAAACGGCAGTGCAAGTAGTGCTCTAAAGGCTGAGGTATTCGACTCGAAACTGGACCCGCGATCGTATTCGCATGGATTCATGGCAGTTTCGCGCCAGGACACACGCTTTGCGCCATGAATCCATGCGGAATACGATCGCGGGGTCCAATTTCGAAGGGGATATCTCAGCAGTTAGAGCACTACCTGAGCTGCCCATTGGGCAGTGGCGTAGTTAGGGCCCTAAAATTACTATAGTGAGATCCCCATGTGTCCAGACTTGCCTGGACGCTGCCTTTAAAGGCAGCGTCCGGGCAAAAAGTCGATTTTGAGATTTTGTGCTTACCCGGGCCTATTCGCTATGGTGAACCCGGAAATCCACACGGGAGAGCGGAAAAACGGCGAAAAAGGGCCCTAACACAGGAGGGAAATGAGCAGGTGGGCGGGGTCCTCCCCACTGCGGATACACGTTCCCGGCTTTCGGAGCGACCTTCTCGCTTCCGGTTTCAATTCAATCATTCGCACTTGACCGGTAGCGATGTTAGGACGGCTAACGGAATCGAGAAATTCGCTCCGGGAGCTGGGAGCGTGAAATCGCACTGGGGAAAGCCCCGCCCACCTGCTGATTTACCTCCTGTGTTAGAGCCCTTTTTCGCCGTTTTCGCGCTTTCCAATGTGGATTTTCGGATTCAGCATGGCGAATAGGCCCATATAAGCACAATATCTCAGAATCGAGTTTTTGCCCGGACACTGCCTTTAAATTTGCGCGCTCGCAGCACTAGCGATCTGCGCTGCATATGCGCGCTGTCGGAGAGAGCAGAAGGATTGAAGAGGAAGCAGAGAAGTAGGCCGTGGGCGTGCGCGAAACCCTAGCGACGCGGACTCCCGCCATGTCAATTTTGGCCTGTTTAGGATTGGGGCAGACTGCACCCAGCCTTACTTTTTAGTTTACGGACTCCCCTACCACGGTATGTAGGCTAGTAGAGACGTTAATGTCCTTGCGGTGCCGAGGGCGACAAAATTTGGGCGTGAAAAACGCCTGATCCGGCATTGCACGAGCAAATTGCTGGAGTTTCAGACGTAGCTATTTGTGAGCTCAATTTCCAACCTCGATAGTTTGAAGTCACTATTATCGGCTCACAGACTGGCGCTACTGCAGCCGGGATGGTCAACGATAATCAGTTTACATGTCTGAACGACAACTGCACCAACTGATACTCCCGTCCGACTCCGCCTTCGCCGCAATCTGGGAGATCGTATTATATAAACCGTAAGATCGTAAGATCTATTAGCCTCATGTGTAGCATGCTCAGGCCGCGTAAGCCGCACCGTCTGGAGACCCCCATTGTCGTAATTTATTCTGAAATACAGGTGATCTTCGGGCATACGTCATGGATACAACTGAACTTCTGGGTGCTAGATTCGTGCAAAAATTCAAGGGCATCAATAGTGCTGTGGAGAAAGGGTATCTTCAAGAACTGATGCTGGTTGTCTCTCCCACAGACGAAGATGATATGGATGCTATTGAGCTATATACTTGGAGAATGCGCTACGATACTGATGGGGACCCTCAAGCCGAACTTACATTGTAAAGGAATTCTTTTGACGCATACTTGCGACTGGCAGTTGGGATGGCCATGTAACACACCAGGTCATGCTTATGCATTGCTTTTGGCATAGTCCGGCAAAGTACAGAGACTTGAGGAAGTGGGTGAAGGAACGAACACCTCAATTAGGCGCCGCCGCGGACCACTGCAACACGATGCACAACAGTAGGACGAAAGGACCAGCAGCCCGCGGAGGCGATGCCTAATTGAGGGGTTCGTTCCTTTACCCGAGGAAGTCCGCCACATTAACACACGCTGATAAAAGCGTCTTTCTATAAGCCGCGACTTCAGAATTATCATCAGCTTCCAGACTGGCGCTAGGGCGGCCGCAGTGGCCAACCGATAATCATTACATTTTTCATTTCCATTTATTCATAGGCACAACCCTATGTTTCAACAACACGAACAATAAAATATCAACAAAAAATTAATAATCAATAATCAATTTTTTGACCAGGTGTAGGAAAAGCGCGAAATATCTGCGCTATTGGTCCATCTTCCTCCGGGACTACGATCTTCGGGATTTCCAGCCATATTTGCTCGAGGCTGAAAAATCTTGCTTCTGGACCTAGTCCTACCTGTGCTACGGGGCCTTTCAGCTGGTGGGGCAGCTCGTCCGCGAGTTCATGAATGTGGTTTAGCACCGTCGTGCCAACCGGACATTGCTCGCAGTAACAGAAGGTGGTGTTGATTCTTTCCTCGAGCATCAGGAGACTTCGAAAGTCTTCGATGAACTTTCCATCGGCCCCATCGAAGGCAGATGTCGCTACCTTGAGCGTTTCATAGACATAGGCATTAAGCCTATGCGCCGGCGTGCGAATATACTGCTGGCCTTGCAGTATTTCCACCGCCGAACTTAAGCGCAGAATGTTGGATTGGTGGTGTCGATCTACTAGGTCGGCTGGTCCTTTGCCAAGATAGACGTGGACGTCACCTATATCTCCCTTGGTGATGTGTTGATGGCGGATATAGTCGTTGGTGAGCAGGTGATTGTGGATCTTTAAAATGATGGCCTGGCTCAGCATCTTTCTTTTCTTTCTTTAAGTGTGATTTCTGTAATATCAGGGGCATTAGTCACGACAAAGTATACTTCAATAACAATGAAATGTGAGACTCAGGAAGTTTTTTTTGCTCGTTTTTTTGTGGGGTTAAGGAGTTTCAACCCTATGCTTCAAAACTGGACAAAAGTTAAGATGAGAGAGGAACGTTTGTTGCTGCATGATTATGTAAGAATGAATATGGTGAGGTACTTCTGAGACACGCCTACCTTAGAGGTGATGACAGCGGAGGGGGGGGGGTCTTAGGCAGATGTCTGTGATTGACGGGTGGGGATTATACCTTTTGTGTGTGTTAGACTCTTTGTATATGCGTGAGTGATGTGACTAAGGCGAATGCCATGGGAAGAAGTTCGGAAGTAGTTGATGATGATGCGTTACGAAACTTGGAGGTTGAGTAGAAAATTTTATTTTACTAGTGTATACTCTTATTATTGCGCATGGATTTGTAAGCGGTCACTTAATTGTTTTGAATTTTACCTTAGTTGCAAGGGTGACGCTGAGACGGACCTGGCCAGGCTTTTCCTACGCCATGAAAATAGTAGGGGCAGTTCGCTCCAGTCACATAAGTTAAAATATTTTTATGTAGCCTTGCAATAGAATTGGCGTAGATGTGACTAATTGCGCTTATAGAAATGGAAATATGGTCATATTTAAGACTAGTTTGGGGATAGTGAAAAATTGTTCTTTTGCCGAGTTTTATAGTGGTAAAACCCGGTCCGGAACCTCCATGTAACGAATTTATGTTTTCTGGTTGTCGTTAAGCTATGAGTGGTACCGTAGCTGGACTTTCAGTAACGCTTACTTCCTATTTTTCTCAACCGGCATATATAGAACTCAACTAGATTTCTTACTAAGCATTTATCAGGCATATATAGACAAAGTATAGGATGTAGAAGTATAGCGGCAGACGGCAAAACAGGGCGGGATAAAAATACAAGAATAATTAGATGAGGAATGGGGTAGCGGATAGATAAGAGGCAGATAGATGAGTTTGAAACAGAGGGTAGCCAAGCAGGAGCTAGGGCTCCGGCTTAACCTTACATATATAGCAATATAACGGGAGCAAATAAATACGAAGCAATTATACAAGGGGGATAATATGGGATAAACACATGATTAGAGATAATAAACATGGAGGGCGGGTGATTAAAATGAGGGGGGGGCGGAGATTCGGAGACGATCTTGTTGAAGAGGCAGCTGCGAAGCTGCCTCAAGTCCGAACCTCTCGTGGGCGGGGCATATTGCTTGGGAGACGGTCAAGAGGCGCGATTTCTCTGGCTGTCACCAACTCAAAACTCCAGTTTAGTGCTATGCGATTCTTCAAAAAGTACCGGATAAAGCGCATTGGCTTACTATCGGTTTGAGGTTACCGCTTGCTGAGTTTCGTGGCTTTTGATGAAAAACGGACCGAAATATTTACAATTTTGTTCCTAACTGCATTTTCATGGGTTTCTGACCTTCAAAATTGCTGTTTCAAATTGGTTTCAAGTTAGCACGATTGAGCTACCCGTGCCATTGTCTAATATATCTCCTTCTAAAATTTAGATACTCTTAGAATGTTATAAAGCACTTATTATGTGCCATTTGGTGTCCATCTGGCAATAAGAATCGCGCCTCTTGGTATACACCCATATTGCTTTATATAGCCCCGAGGCGCCCTGAGGCGGGGCAAGGAAGATGGACCAATAGCGCAGATATTTCGCGCTTTTCCTACAAGTGCCGCACATGCCACGCGATATTGCTAAGCTTTGCCGGTTGCGACGACTTTCCTGAAGAACTATGTAATAGCAAAAAACAGTTGGCACCCTTGCGCCGCCAACCAACATAGGGTTGTTTCATACTGCCGCACTGACTGCAGCAGACTGCAGCTGACTTCACTGACCGCAGCAGACTGCAGCTGACTGCACTGACCGCAACGGCCGCACAATAGCTGCATCCTTTTGTAAAGGAGAAGATAGTTGCGAATACATCAAAACACCGTGATTCACGCCTACGAAGTCCATAAGTTTCAACTTACTCTTCTCAACCAAATTTTGGCGATTGTTTCTCTTTAATATGCTCATATTTGTTCTGATTCCTTTTGTCATTGCATATACCTATTTTAGTCCCGCTCGTGTTGTCTATTGGGGCATATATTGTTAAGAGACTGTTTGAGCTACAACTAATTATCCTCTCCACCCTCACGAAAGGATGTAGCGATCTGCGCGGCCCTGCAGTCAGTGCGGTCAGCTGCAGTCAGCTGCAGTCTGCTGTGGTCAGTGCAGCAGTCTGAAACAACCCATAAGCGCCATTGCAGTCGTTGGGCATACAATAAGTGTATAGTTGTCGTTTTGCACAAATCGCGCAACGACGAAATCGCGAGCACCATGCCATAGGCCTGTTACAACTATAGTGAGGCAAAAAAGCGAATGTGTTTATGAACGACCCGACATGTGCTACGCAATCCATAATGCTACATGCAGCGCCACCCAATCGCCAGCCGCCGATATAATGAGAATACTCAAATCGTTATAGCAAATTTGCTACATGTTTAGACCTGATGGAACAGTCATGGCTGCACTCCGTTTCCAAGGCATGCAGTTTTTGAAAAACCAAGTTACGGAACTCTTACTGGCGTTGAGAGCGTTGTGTCGAGAGTCGCTTAGCCCGCTCCCTCCAACTGCTTCGGCTGCTGTACGCATCACCTATACCGACAGTGAGTTGTCGCTTTTTTCTTCGATAGTTGAAAAGATTCATGATTGGGGTGAGTAATGGTTCGGCCTTTGTGGAGCACCGTGTTGAACCTTACACTCGACCCTGCTAAGGCTGCGTTCATACTGATCCCGAAGTCTGGGAACAGTTCCAGCACAGAGCTCGAGTTGAGCGCTGTGCTGGGACTGTTTCCGAAATCCGGGATCAGTATGAACGCAGCCTAACACACAGCAAATACAAAAATTCCTAGAATTTGAGTACTTCGTGTGCCATTATCGCGCGCATTATGCAGGGTGCCCGGCGAAAGCGTTTGATTGTGAATGCCTCTTCTCCTAAAGTCTGCCGATAAGACGCACCATCTTGTAAAGTTGGCTTCTTACACAGTACACGATACACAGTATAGAGCAAGACATCTATCCTTCTGCATTACTATGGGAGTATGGTAGGGACGACCGTGAAGAAAGTTTTGAGCCACTGACACTCTTTCTTGCTGAATAAGTAGTCCAAGCTAGATCCAAGTATGTCGTGACGATTATCTTCTCATTCCTGGGATATGTGATTACACCATCAAAAAGCTTTACGTAGTGTAAAAGTTAAGCAGTGAGATCAGCGTGCGCGAAACCGCTCCATTCACGCTGGAGGCGGGGATTTGATTTCCGAAACAACAGTTAAATCTTACTGGTGCTTTGTGCTGGATCCTACCATAATTCTACAGGAATGTGAAACGATTTCAGATTGCTAATTTAAATTGAAGCCAACTCTACAGAGTTGTACCCATGGGTCCTCAAAAGGCTTTATGGAAGAGAATTAATTACGAGTATGCGCTGCGTACATACTTTTAAGACATTTTGTAGATACCTTGTCACTCCAGGGTAAGCCTATTTTTTCTACCTTTGCTAAAGCAGACTACTACTTGCTGGACCCGGATCTTTACTACAATCAAAAAGAGAGCACAGGAGGGGACTTTAACCAAGTGTGGGTCCCAATAATGCTTCGTATTGGGATGCTACCATAACTATTTTGCCGGTGATTAAATATACTATAACAACATTCTGTATGCACACTGTACCAAGCAGTTTCGACTCACAGTGCACAACAACCACCAGTCATAAGTGAATTTATTGTGCATCACAATTTAGGGACTCCGAAAGGTTATCAGGCTCCAGGATTTTATCGCTCTCCGGATGATCCAGTGTTAAGACCAGATGCACAGAAACTGGAGATCGTAGCCTTTCAAACCAAGCATCATGGGTGAGGACTCATGTCGTTTTTTTCCTTGCAGTGTTCTAAAGCATATGACTTTCAGTGCTTCCATAGCTGTTAACAGCATCTTCATCGATGATTCATATGCAGTGGGCCTCAGACTCAAAGAAACGATGAAACTAGACGGCTTGGATGATTCCTTGAACCAGTCGTTTGGTGAGGAGCAAGGAGCTGGTGACGAGATTCAGACTTCAAATGAAACATTAGAGCGTATCAGTGGGCCAATCGAGGGCCAGGTTAGTGATCGTCTAGTAAATCTGTTTTCTCATCAAAGTAGTGACTCTGCGATAATCAATGTTGTAAGAGTGACACGATGGAGATACCGCGTGATGGCGAAAGAGAAGTCCAGAACACCTCCACCATGAGTACTAGTTAGTTTTCAATATTTCTAGTGATCGAAATTATATACATACGAATTCTGATAGGTACAATGGATGCCCGAGGGTCCTCGATAAATACAAATTTATCAGAGAGTACTACCGAAGACGTGCGTCCCAAACGTGGAAGGCGTGGCCACCCAGCTGCCGTCAAGGTCAAACCGGGTCAGGCCATAGAAGAACGAGCAAGGAGTCCTGTAGTAGTATCAGTACGTGATCTTTGCTTAAACCAAGGTAGTGTTTTCATGTTTCGAAATTAAGGCCTCTCCCAAAAGAATGGCTACACCTGGACCCGAAGTGGAAGAAGATGTTGGTGTCATTTCAGTATAAGCAACAAGAATTCTCAAAATGTTTTGTTTTCAGAACAATGGCGACACTCCTCCCACTAAAAGAACACCTGGTTTTGTCAAGACAACAAAGGTACAGATATTTTCACTTTAACAAATGGACGTCATTTGTGTGTTCGACCCTGCTTTCAAGGCCCAAAAACCGATAGGTTGTAAGTGAGAAATTAAAAAAGGATGTCGGCTAGTCGATTTTAACTAATAAAAAGTTTACTACTGTTCAGATCAAATTTGTTATGATTCTTCGAATTTCAAACCACTTTGAATGTATAAATCTTTAGATTACACCCAAGCAGCCGCCGCAAAGAAGAAGATATTGAAGGCAAGCAGATGCAAGGATTTCTGGTCAAAGTTTTCTGTGAATATCTTACTGTACCATAGAGTATATTTGATATTTTATTTTATACATGTATGTTTTTCACTTCGGGAATCTAGCATAAAGAAGCCGTGGCTTCTTTCTGCTAAAGTTCCTTTCGTACCGCAAAAATCTAATTCTTGAAATCTCTTGTAGCTCATCAAAAGGTCATAGTCACTACGCTTTTGTTCCTTCATTTATTTTGCTGCGATCGTTACGCTTAATCTGAATTGTCGCGCTATCAAAACTTGTATATGTTTGCTTTTCTTGTACTGTTGCTGTCCGTGTCATTGGAATGTTCAATAGTTTATATGCTTACTGTGCATATTTCTTGTGTATGATATTAAATAATACAATGTAATATTTAATAATACAATGTAATCGTTTTCAGAGAGCAGAGGTGATCATACCGCGTATGTTATCTCATGCGTACAGCTAATTTGGTTTACTCATGTTCGTTTGGTGGTGTTTATTCTTATCGTCCGGTGATGTTTATTTCTTGTAAAAATCGACTGCGCTTGACTTCAAGCATCTGCGTTTGAGATCAAAATCACTTCAAGTCTTATACCCGATTGGACAGATTACGCTATCTCTTGGTAAGGATTTGTTGTTTATGCAGGCTTCTATACAATCACATAATCCCGAGCACATGCTTCCTCTGCGAAGTGCAAGCCTATAGGCGCCTAAGCGATACTCTTTTCAACCGATAACATTTCTGTGCCTAGGTAAGATAATGAAATAAGAATCGCCGAGTTTGAAAATTTCCGGGCGGGTCTGCGGTTTACACTACATTTTATGTCGGCAAACAAGTTCGAATGTCTACCACTTTCAGCAGTCTTCTTGAAGTGGTAGAAGTGTTGCGATGCAATCTTGCCAGCCGTTTGCAGACTGCAGCCTCATGTTAGCGGAAGCACGCAGATCGGAAGGAAACTTGGCTGCTGTCGTGCCTCAAAGTCTATGCTTTGTTGGGAATACACTCGCATTTACAAATGTCAACGCCGCTTCGCAGCGCGCGCTCCTCTGTCTTTCAAATTCAAAATTCCGCGCTTCCCGCGCAGTCAGCCAAAAGTCCCCCAAACGAGAGGGGAAGAACACAGGAGCGCCAAGGTCGTTTTTGGTTCTTTCGGCTGTCGTTCACATACTGCCTCGCATGATATTTGATTCCAGTGTGCATGTTTATAATCTACAGTTATTTTCACCGTATAGAGGACACTGTTATTGTTTTTATTCTCTTCGTGAACTTTATAGTCCTCTTTCATCAAGTTTGCACATGGAGGGGATATGGCCCTATCTTTTCTCCGCAAACAACTTGCTATACTAATCGCTTCTGAGAGTCCTTTTTTTGCCCGTCCTCTTGAAAGCTTCTTGCTGTTTTGAAACAATCAATGATGGAGTTCTCGCTATGCAAGTTCCAATGCGCTTGATACTAATCTAAATATGGCGAGCACCGATTTGCGATCAAACATATTGTTCAGATCGATTGAAAATGCAGTTAAGCTCTCGTGGCTTTTCAATATACCTTGTTAGTTGGCAATGCTGGCATCATCACATCGAAATCGCTATGGTTCTATTTCGTCTTCTCTCTCTCTTTTGCTTACTTACAATGTGTGGATTCACTTAGTCTGTTCACACATCCTTTGGTCATTATTTTTCTTTCACATCCCATAAATTCTCAATTTTTATCCACATTTCTTTCCTCTCCTTCCCCAGATCTTTCGATTCAGGCTCACGCACGATTTTGTAAAGGCGAGATATGAGTAAACATAGGCGCAGAAAAAAACTTGTACTTTTTATGTGGGGCAGTCAAAGTTCGTCGTTGCAATAGAAGAGTACATCCTGTGAAGTGCAAGTTTTGGAATATCGGAGTAGCAGCCGAAAGCAGAAGCTGCCAGTTGCCACTAATCACGGATGAAAACTCAACGGGCTTTTGCTTGAATCTCGTGTCTTTTCTGCACTTTAACCTCTGATCACTTTTATTTTGATGTTTACCTTTTGCTGCTTTTGAGTTCAATTTTGCTGTGATTTATATACTAACTTTATATAGGTTAATTTACAATGGATTTTATTCTTCAAAGAACCACTTTTAGACATCGTGGAATGCCGCAAATGTGCACTATATCTTTAGATCCGGACATATATCATGTGAGATTTCATCGCCTCGCCATTCTTCCCACAGGAAAGAAATTGCGATTCTCTTGAATCATATCCTGCATTTTGGTTGTGATAGTTTTCCCAAATAATCGCGATTAACTATCACAATCGAAATGCAAGATTATCGGCATAAAATAGACTCGTGAATCGCGATGTATGTCCAACCTTTTATGCGCAATTCTTTTTTGAAAAATTGTGATAATTGCATGCAAACAGATCCACATTTATGAACAGGAGATGATTGGTTAGAGAAGTGGATGGAATACCTTTTTTTCAACTTGCAATCACAGGCTGTGTAAATCATAAAATGGTGATTGATAACCTCACGCCCAAACGGCACCTAGGGAAGAGCGATTTTTTGATTCAAAACAGTTGTAATAAAATTGGGGCTTGTGCGCTAAAACATGACGCTTCGGACATGCTACAAATCTCTTTGTAAACAACGCCATGGGGCAAATCCGATGTTCGGAGCTGGTCACTCAGTACGAGCGCTGGTATTAGTAGCATTGGCGAGTGAATCGATCCAAATCGCAGCCGTTTGGCGTGCGACTGTCAGAGGCAATTAATATGCCGCATTTTTTTTCGTGCCATTGTATGCAATCCTCTTTTGGATAGAGTGCCAGTCGTATTGGCTGCGATCATTGCACATGCAAGCTGCCATGTTTTTCTCGGTTTGCTTTCTTTCTCGCAGGCTTTGTTATAGAATGCTAGCTTTCAGTACTTGGGAATTTTTGTTATTTGACACACATTCATGCGCTTTACGATTTTGGGTCTATGCGATGTATGCATGCATTTTGTCTAGCGATCGTTATCTCCCGCAGACCACCTAATCTGAAAAATCGGAAGACTATTCATTCGCTATTCTCTGCTTTCGGTATTTTTTATCTTGACATGATTTATTTCGGTCATAATTGGTGGCATCTATCTTTTTTCCACAATCTTCATTCATCCTATCGTCTTTTTAATGGTATTTTACATATTACCTTGTTCGGGGGTATTGCCAAGAGCCCTTGTTCGTATGTTCTTCCACTGTTGAGAGTAAGTCATTATTGCCATACCCACAATTTTGTTTCAATAGTTGCAACGGCAGGGGCTCGTTTAATTGTGCATAAGCACATTTTTCTGGTTTCTATGGCATCCCGACTTCGCGCTTTTTCGATTTTAATAGCAAACAGATATAAAAATAATTCTCGATGAGTTTTCATTCCTGGGTGGCAGCATCAAATTACATCTCAGTTACTTTGTAGGATCTCGAGCAAGTAAAGCGTTTTCTTTTGCATCTTTCTATGTCATACTTATTTTGTTTGTGTTGATTCTCAACCAACCTTAGCTTTTTGCTGACATAATTTATTTCACAGTTAAAAGTTGATCGCTTTAGCCTTGTAGAAACTGTATCGGCAGGAGATACTTTCTTTATATGAGCTTAGAGTTAGCATTCTTGTCAACTTAAAACAGTAGTTTTCGTTCAATTTATCTTTCTATTCGATCCTTTGAATTGTTTAGATGCTGGCGAACGTTGATTAGGAATCGTTTCATTTTTCGTCTGCTGTGTCACTATGAAGTTAGCTTTTGGGTGGAGCAATGAACGCTACGGCATTAGTATAATAACTTGTTCCAGCTTTCTGTCCGCGTTTCGATCAGTTGTCAAATATCCTCAGCAAAAGAATTTTTAGCACGTGCATATCTGATGGTTGCGCAGCGAGTAAGATGAGATTACTAATTTTGAGGTTACCGAGAAATCTGGGCAGGTAGGGGCAGACATTAATTATATCAGTTGTGTTTAAAGTTCGGATAGCATATTCGAACTATGTTTCGTGGAAAGTGTGAACATACATTTTTATATTGTCTGTTCGCTAAATTTCAGATTCTTTTTGTGCTGTGAAAAAACGCGGCTGATGTGATGGAATGTCTCTTCCATTAAACTAGTTCAATTCAGCATTAGGTATTCGGACTCCGAGGACAGTTTGATAGATTAGTGTTATACGCCTAATATCAAGCAAGTACGCCTCAAAATTATGATTGTTTATTCTTTATTTCTTTCTTCACTCAGTATAAGGACGCCTAGTTTGACGCACTATTTGCCTTCCATAAAAAAATCGTACCGAACAATGCTAAAAGAATTTTTTATCTACTTTTTTTTTCTGTGTTACAAGTGCGAATGGTATGCACGTCCTTCGTTGTTGTAGAGTGACATTTTCGGAATTTACAACCTCACTAATGAGTGATTTGTACGCTTTCAAAGGAAAAGTTGTTTTCTTTCCCAGCACTGCCACTTGTCACGATTTTGAAAGCACCATGTCTCCATGTGGTGACAAGTGCTCTTCTCGGCAATTCACATTCAACAAAAAAAACTGAGGTGTTTCATTTTGGAATGAAGGCTTGTCGACAAGTTTTTTCAAATCGTGCTCTAGTTCCCACTGACTGTCGGTTACGCTCACATTTACATTCATTCCTGCTGTGATTATACTATATCGTCACTCGCTAGATTTCTGAAATGGTTCGAGCAACTAGCTATACATTTGATAAGCTTTTTTTGGTTATAAATAAATCGCAATAAATCTGGACTTGCATTTGCATCAGATGCCTTTTTTTTGTCTTTTGACTTATCCACTAATTTGTTGCAATTTATCGAAGTAGAAAGGCATAGACATTGCGAATCTGCAGCAAAGCAATATCAGATTTTTTTTGGAAAATTTGTTTAGGGAATGAAGTTTGTTTGAATGTTTGTAGTTTCTTATATCTGTGTGATTTCATTCGATTCAAGTTCACAGAAATTGCTTACGTTTTTGAATGCGCTGCGCTCCTCTCCTTTCCTTACCTTCCCCCTAAATACGTCTTCTGCAATTTTCATTCACATGCACGTCAGCCTCTGCACGTCTGTTATTTTTTGCAGTTTTTCGAACTCATCGTGAGAAGCTTAGAATTAGTTTGCTTGATGTCTTTGCTCCATATCTCTTTGATTAGTTCCTGCTTAGCTTATTTGGTTGCTTTCTTTTGTGATTTTCTGTTTGAAGAAAGGTAATGAAACCAGTTTCCTCACCACTGATTGTCTTGATTGCGGTTCATTACGATCGCAATTGTATACCAGAGCTTGCCTTTTATGAGGTTGCTGCCTCTTACTCGTCGATCGAGAGTAAAAACAAATGTACGGCTTTAGCTTTAAGGAAGGAGACATCGTTTGGCTTTTAGCAATACTAGCTTCACCTCTATTCATTGCTGTGCTTGGTAGTTTTTGACGAAACACTACAGCGCTGAGTTTGCTGTGCAATCCGCACTGTGAAATTCGAGCTCCTTTCTTTAGTGGTCAAAAAAGAATCCCGTCAGCTTCTTTGACTCCTTGACTAATGCCGATTTAACAAACA